GGAGATGTGCCCCGAGCCTATGTTTTGGGCCTTCTTCTGAGGCCTCTAGGAGGCACAGTGAGTCCTGGGCCTAGAGTCAGGAAGACCTGAGTTCAAATATGACCTTGGGCACTTACTAGCTGTGTGACTCTGGGCAAGCCCATTAACATCTGTCTGCCTCAGTTTCTTTAGATGTAAAGTGGGGATAATAATAGCACATACCTCCTACAGTTGTTATGAGGATCAAGTGAGGCCATATTTGTAAAGTGCTTAGCCAAGAGCTTGACACATACTAGATGTTACATAAATGCTAACTATTTTATTATTATTTGACCTTATTAGTTTCCATGGGTTTAATTATTATCTCAATGCAAATGATGACTATTGGATATTTTGAATTAAGTGTCTGTAGGCATTTCAAACTCAATATGCCCCAAAGAGAACGAATTATTTTTTCCCAAACCCACCCCTCTTCTGAATCTTTCTATTTCTGTCAAGTGTACCAACATCCTTCTAGTCCAGAGGTGGGGAACCTGCAGCCTCTAGATCCTCAAGTGCACCCCTTGGAATCCAAACTTCACAGAACAAATCCCCTTAATAAAATGATTTGTTCTGTAAAACTTGGACTCAGTCAAAAGGCTGTATCTGAGAATCTGGAAGGCCATACGTGGCTTTGAGGTCGTAGGTTCCCTACCCTTGTTCTAGTCAATCTTGTTTGCAATCTTAGTTATAGACTTGTCACCAATCTATTTCAGGCCCTTATCAGTTGTTGCCTAGATCATTGCAATATTTTTCTGCTTTGTCTCAATAATGTATCAATACATTGATCATCAATACATATTGATGTATCAATAATCTTCTCTCTGATATATTCCTTGAAGCTACCAAAATGATTTTCCTAAAGCATAGGTCTGACCACATTGCTTTTTTCCTTAATAAAATTCAATAGCTCCCTAGTACCTTTGGGGTCAAAAACAAATTCATCTGTTTGTCATTGTACAGCCCTTTCCCACATGGCTCCAAACTACCTTTTCAGGCTTACTATACATTACTTCCTTTTACATGCACTGCAGTCCATCCAAACAAGCTTTCTTGCTGTTCCTGATACTTGACATTCTATCTCCCACCTCCATGCTTTTGTATAGTCTGGCCCCCATGCCAGGTATGCATTCCTTCCTCACCTGTACCTCTTAGAATTCCTAGTTTCCCTCAAAGTTCAGTTTTAAGTGCTGTCTTCTACACAAAGTCTTTCCTGATCGCTACAACTGTGAAGATCCCCCACTTACCTTGTCTTTACATATTTTTTGTATATATTCTGTATATACTTATATATGTAGGCATTGTCTACCCCAACAGAATGTAAGCACCTTGAGGACAGGGACTGTTTCATTTTTGTCTTTGTACTTACAATGTCTAGTACAATGTCAGGCATATTCAGGGGTGTTAATGTTTGTTGATTTATTCATGTTCAGGTTTTACCACTTACAGGCTGTGAGTAGACAAGTCACTTCTCTGGGCCTCAGTTTCCTTATTTGTAAAATGAGGATAATACTTGTGCTATTCACCTCATAGGGTTGTTCTAAGGATAGTGCTTTGTAACAATCTTTAATATGCTATAAATGAGTTACTATTAAAAATAAATTCTTGTTAATATTTACTATTCTTAATAAGAATATTAGTAATTTATTTGCTGTGAAAGAGATCCCTAGTCTACGCAATAGCTTTCAAAACCACAAAGGGATCCTGCTTCTCATAGCTTTTCCCTCAACCTGTGACTTTGAGTAATAGGGTTATTGCTGTCCCCTGCTGGCCTTAGTGGAGTGAGTGACCCTGTCTCCCCATTTCTGATGAAAAGAAGTGGTCCTGGTCAAGGCCACACTGGGTGTTTGCAAGCCCCACCTCTATGTTCAGAACAGAAACAAAAAAGTGCTGTGTCTTTTCTGGGCACTCTTACTCTATCAGCCAGTTCTTGTCCTATGCATGGCTTTTAGGGTAGTCCAGACTCAGAAGGCAAAGCAGTCTCATAGAGGAAACCTCCCAGACTGGCTGCTTGGATCTCTGAGTGAGCTGGACTTTGGAGCTCAGACCTCCAGGGGCTGCCAACAAATACATACTTATTTGAAGGAAGTCGAGCTGCATGTACTGCAGATTTCTGCCTGCACCCAGAATCTAGCCAGGTTACATTTTCTGCCTTATCCCCTGAAGTCCAGCCCTGGGGTATCTGGGATTCCATGGTAATGAAAGACAAACAGTCAAGAAACATATGTCTTATTTTTCCTCTTCAGTAAAAGCCAGACAAGCTTGGGTAAAGTACTTAGTTTCACAGACAAGTACATGGGAGAGAGAGAGACAGTAGAGAGTTGAGAGTTGAGAGTTGTGGAGCATGCAGGCAGCAGGGCCAATCTGTGAGACTTCTCTGGAAAAAAAAAGCTTTTTTTTTCTATTAGACAAATTCTTTTATGTTGTTTTTATGGAGAAGATGGTGAGCAGCAATGGGCTTAGATGATAGTACAGTTAGGCTGTTTAAGAACTGGTTAAATGACTGGTTCCAAGAGTGGTCAAAAAGGGTTTGATGTCAGCTTGGAGGGAGGTCTCTATCTGAGTGCCCCTTACTCTAGCTATCCTCTGTCTGATGCTATTAAATATTTTTAAAAATGATTTGGACAAAGGCATGGGTGACATTTATCACATTTGCAAATAGCACAAAGCTGGGTGGGCTAGTTAAGATGGGCTAGTTTCTAATGAGATAAAAATTGAATAGGTATAAATGTAAAGTCTTACATGTAAGTTTAAAAAAATTAGTTTCAAAGGTACAAGATAGAGGAGGCATGGTTAGATCACAGTTTATCTAATAACTGTCTGGAGATTTTAGTGGTCTTCAAGCCATATGAGTTAATATGGCAGCCAAAAAAAGTGAATATGATTTTGGGCTCCATGAAGGGAGTTATAGTGTTCAGAAAGAGGGAAGTGATAGTCTAGTCTGGCTGTATACACCCTGCCATGGCTATACCATATTTGGAGTTCTGGATGCCATATTTTACAGGAGACATTGATAACAAGCTAGAAGACATCTATAAGACATGGTGACGGCTGGATGGTGAAGGGCCTCACAATCATGCCATATGAAGACTGGTTGCAGGAATGAGGGTTGTTTAGCTTGGAGAAGAGAAGAGTTGTGGGTAGAGGTTGGGAAGGACACACATAATAGCTCCTTCCAACTATTTGAAGGGCTATGTGGAAAAAGGATTAGTTTGTTATTTGCCCTCGGGGGCAAAATTTGAATTAATGCCTGGAAGTTTCAGAGAGGTAGAGTTAGGCTCAGTTTAAGGGAGGAAACCCAACAGACAAAGAACACAACCTTCTTAACCGCTTGAGCTAACCCAAAATAGAATTAGCTGCCTTGAGAAATAAGGGGGGTCTTCAAACAATGGCTGAATGCCCACTTATTGAGGACGTTGTGGGGAGATGGGAATTCTTACTTCTAGAATGGATTAGACTAGGTGTTTTCTGAGGCTCCTTCCAACTTGGATGCTGTGATTCATTGCTCACTTGCCACTAAGTCATGTCCTAGGGTTATTCTGTCATCGCCTGATGTGCGACGATTTAACTCGAGCCTCATTGCCTAAGCTTGGTGAAAGGACGTGGGCATTAGCAGTAACTTTCCAAGGACCTCATACATATTTCCTCAGTAACTTATGAACCCCAAACTCGATTTGAAAGGGCCCAGCTTTAGCTTTAGGGGCTTAGCATCTCTACACAGGAGACGTGGAAAGATTTTAGACTGAAATTTAGAGGAATGCACTGAGCAGGGTACCAGATACAGGTCTCTGTGTCACTTGGGCTCCCTAGTTCCTGCTCACTACCTGGCTTTCATATGGTACAGGGACAGGACTGGAATCTGGCTGACCCACCCTCTCCTTAAGACCTTAATCTAAGGAATCTTAGGTGGAGTAGGGAACCACGGAAAGAGAGATGTAGGATCTACCTAAATGGTTGGAGTGGGGAGTTGAAGACAATCAAATTCTTGAGATTTGGGGAACTTGGAGGATCAAAAAGCCCCTCAGTCTTCCATGAGAAATGGGGAGCAGCTTTCTCATCTCTCCTTCAACCTTTGGCTTGCCTCAGAGCCTCCCAAATTCAACCAATGTGGATACTCTGTTGGCCGTGGATCTCAGCCGCAGGGGCTCAGAGACAAAGGGCTCTGCCTAAAAGCAAGAAGCTGTGTCAGGCAGCTCATTGCTTCTAGCAGGGCTCAGTCTGTGATCTCATAATACATTCCTTCTGGCTCCAACTTGGCACCAGAAGAAACAAATAAAATAAAACTCATTAAGCCTGCCAAAGCTAACCTGGCCAGGGCAGGCTAGCCCATTCCACAGAGAACTTGCACAGGGCAGCAAGACAGATGTAACAGGTAGCTCTTGGTGAAACCTCACAGAGGGTGTTTTACAATAGTCCAATAGCCACAGCCTCTCCTGTCTCTTGGCATCCAGGACCTATGGTTTCCTAGGATGCTCTGAGCCAGTCAGGTGTTACCACTACTTGTTGCCCCAGGGAGTGCAGTCCATGGACAGAATCTTTCATCACTGGCATGCAGAAGCCAGGTGTGAGATCCCCACAATAAAGGTTCAAGGGGGCAGGGGGCAAGAGGAGGGCAGGGCATCTGCTTTGAGTTCTAGCTCCAAAAGTCAGTTCCAATTGGCTTTTTGAAATGATCCTGTTAGGGAAGGCAAAGGTTATTCCAATTTCTCTTGGCTAGAGGAATCCCTTCCCTAGCTCACCTCCCTTTGCTCTTTCTTTCCTGGTTCAAGGCCTTTCTGATTCATCATTGTCAATAACTTCTACTTCTTTGGAGAAAAATGAGAGAAAAATACTGCTTTCTTTGTTGTCCCTGGAAAAAGCTTGCTTGTGATTATGAGCCCTTACCAAGAGGGGGACTAAGAACATGGCAACCCAAAAACCCTTTTAGTTTGATTTGTTTTTGTTTTTTTTATTTTTTGTTTTCTTTTGAATTTCATGCAATAATTCACAGTCCCAAGCCCACAGTTTTCAAACAAAGTAGGAAAAAGGAAAAAAGAAGCAAAGGAATTGGTGGTTTTGTTTTCTGTTGTTGTTTCAAGCAGGACCAAATGTCAGAAAAAATGCTGCTTTTCTCAATCTTTTTTTTTTGTCCTTTTTAAAATTTAGTTTATTTTTTAAAATTTATTTCTGCAGGCAGTATTAATAGGGTTTGGTATAACCAGCAAGCACTCCTCTGTGTGTGTGTGTGTGTGTGTGTGTGTGTGTGTGTGTGTGTGTGTGTGCAGGTCTGTCTCAGTGTAGAGGAAGGTCTGCATAGGGGCATGGACGGGGGAAGGGGGGTGTGCTGTGTGCATTTATATTGCATCAGGTCCCTCTTCACCAGGAGAATGGGCACTAATTCTCCTTATCACTCATTAGGAAAAGGAAAAGTTTAATTGAGATGATAAAACTCATCAATAGAGGTTTTCTTTTTTCTTCCCATTTTACTTTTTAAAAATGTTTTTTCCCCTCATTTTCCTTTTTCCCAAAGTTCTCCAAAGTTGCTGAACAAATTCAAGCTCCCTTTAGTTATGTGGTTTGTCCTCCCGAAGGGCTCTAAGGTAGATGTTCCAGGAAAAGTGTCTGCTCTGGCATGATTCAGCAGGTCCCCAGACCTGCAAGTTGTAGCCTTTTCTTCTCAAGGATTATCCTAACTTTGTCTGTAAGGGACAGACATGTTCTGGATCCTTGTTTCTACCCCTTGTTACTGCCCTTCTCTTTCCATCCTCAAGAAAGTTTTTGTTTCTTCCCTTTTTATGAAAATCTTCGTTTTCCAGCTTCCCTTCCCAGCTTGTCCCTCCCCTTGCCCATACCTGCTTGGCAAATTTAACAAGAGTTTGAAATTAAAAAACACTTTTTTCCATTTTTCATGACAGTTATTGTAGTTTTGTCTTCTGGTTGTAGGTTCATGTGTGAATGGGGCGTTTGGGGGATGTGTGTGTGTGTGAGTGTGTGTGTGTGAGGTGCACACACATCAGGACTTAGCACCAGTCATCATCGTCAGTCTCACTATAGGGTTCGTGCAGTCCTTTCCGGGGGCCTTGCCCTCGATGCCTGGCCAGTCCGTGGGTAGGATAGTAGCCATTTGGTAATCGCCGTCCGTGTCTGGAGGGCGAGACTGAGGCTGGGCCTCCTGCCCGGGAAGTCCTGGGCGACCGCCCCGTACCAGAGGAGGCGTGTGGCGGGGTATCGTAAGTGAAGGCTGCCTCTTCGCTCCCTGGGCCGTCGGCGTCGTAGTCTGAGCTCTGGTAGTAGCCGCCGTGGTGCCGGGGTCCCGGGTGCCCCTCTGAGGTATGGGGGCTAGGTGCTGGCCACCGGGACCCAGCGTGGCGGTAAGCCCTCGGGGACTCATTTCTTGGTAGGGCAGTGGCATGCCGCTCCATTCCCGGTGAGCGGCTACTGCCGTGGCCCCCTCCAGAGGGCCGTTCCCCCACCTGGTGCTCAGCAGAGGGGGCCTGGTACCTCCGTGGTCCAGGAGTGGAGGATCTGCAGGGGCGCACTGACTGCTGTGGCTGCGGCGGCTGGGGACCTGCGCTGCCAGCCTTACGGATCACTGGGGAATAGGACACATGTGGCCTGGGGGTGGAGGGGGTCTGGGGGAGCTGGCGGCGTCCACGCCGCGGTGTGCTGGTACCAGATGTTGAGGGGACTGGGCTTCCACTTACGGAACTACTGCCCTACACGAAAATTGAAACAAAGGAAATCAAAAAAAAATATACAACAAAATCAACCAAGAAGAGACAGGAGGAAACAGAGGACAAGACGGAGAGAAGGAGGCAAAGGAAACAACAGAAAAGAAAACCCAACAGAAAACAGAGGAGGGAGGGGAAGGAGAAAAACAACATTTTAATGGAAAAAAGGAGGAAAGCAACAGCCACAGGGAAGAGGAAATAAGAGACAACAAGGGAGATAAAGTAAAAAACAAACACAAAAACAGTGAGAAGAGAAATGAGAAATGGAGTCTTGTAAGTTTCGGGGTTTAAAGTAGCAAAAGTTCCCAAAATTACTCACGAGTCCAGAGGACAGAAATAAATCATAATTGAAACCAAAAAAAGGGAAGCCAAGGGTTAAAGGAAAAAAAAAACACAGCAGGGCAGCGGGCAAGGGACATGAGCCAGGGCCAGGCAGGGCCAACTGAGCTGAGGCACTGTCCAGAAAACCAAAAAGGGATTTCAAACAACTTAAACAAAAGTAGCTGCAGTGGAAGAGGATGGCATGGGTAGGGAAAGAGGGCACCACATTTGTGGTCACCTGGATTGAGCTAATGGCTGATGAAGTGCCCTCCTTGGTATGGTAGCCACTTCATAGGGCTGGGTATCTATCCCTCCAGGGAAATGAATGAGTGTCTCATTCTCACTTTGTCTTGTTGGGGGGCGGGGGTTGACTCCTCCTACCCCCACTATATTATGGGCTGTCATGGGACCTGGAATACAGGGAATTATGGAGGACAGCTGTCATGGCTGAGACAAGGAGAATTTCTGGGCTTGGCCGGTGTCCCTTCCCCAACTCTAGGCATGGGTCAGCAGGTCTTTCCTCCCAGGGGAACGGAGGGGAGGAAATGGGAGGGGATGTGTGGCTGCGAGGGCAGAGGGGAGAATGAGCTAGTTGGTGGCAGGGCTTTGGTTCCTACCCATCCTACTCTTTCTTGCCCAGAGTTTTTTTCCCTTTACAACTGCAGCAGTTGCTTGACCTTTGCCTGTGTGGTGGCACTTGAGGTCATTTAGTTTGGGGAGACTCACTGCCTACCTTCTCACCAGTTCAGTGGTTCCCAACACAAATTTCTTTCAGGTACTAACCTCAAAGGGTTTTGGTGCACAAGTTATTCTTCACTACTTGTTAGTGCTCATTTCTGCCTGTGTGTCTCTACCCTGTTGCTACCTGCCCCTCTCTATATCCTGGAGTGTAACACATCACTATTCTGTTTACTCCGGAGCTGGGGGAACCCACTGGAGTGAGTAGGTCCTGAAGGAGACCCATGATAAGAACAGGCCCCATTGCTATGAGCACAACTGCACAGGGTGTAGTGGAAGATGGCTTGATGGGGGACCAATCTTACCCAGCCTCCCAAATTAGATTTCTCTTAAGCCCTGCCCTTAGAGCTGCCAGCCTGACCTTTCACTCCTCACATCTCTGTGCTCTCCATGACCAAATGGAACCAGGGGAAGAGGGGCAATATGCCAGACCCACCTGCCTATGAGCCATATGCTCTCGGCCCTCGCTGGGGGAACGAGACCAGCGTTGGTCTCGGGCTCGGGGCCGTCCATACTCAGACCGCTCCTGGGAATAGCGCTCCTTGTCAGAGGATGGGTGGTGGTGGTGGTGGTGGTGATGGTGCTGATGGTGTTTTCGGTCCTTGGGCCTTCCTCGCTCCTGGTCTCGATCTTTTGGAGGCAGATCTCCAGACTGGGTGGTAACACTCAGGTCTGTTCCCAAGCCTGGGCCAGAGATAGGAAGAGAGAGCCATGACATGTAAGAAATGGGTAGGGGAGGCAGGAATGCCTTAAGTACTTTTGCCCTGCCTGTAGGCTTCAGACCTAGTGGGGAAACTGTGTTGATGGAACCAAGAGGAACTCGGTTGGGGGAGACTGCCAGAGTTACTCACCAACCACTCCCTTGGAGGTTCTCACTTCTCTCTTGTTCCTTACCCTCAGCCTCCTTGTGCAAAGACTTTCTACAAATGCTCTCCTTGTTCCCCAGAAGGAGAGCTGCCTCCTTTTTTCTTCCAGGCTCCTACTTGGCGTTCCCAAACAGCTCCTCTTTGAGCCTCCAAACTGTGTCTCCCACTGGCTTTGGACCTAATTCTTTGGCAAGAGGCTCATTCTCTGTTCCTCACAGTTTCCTTTAGCTATGCTCTGTGGAGGTCCCTACAATGTCTCCAAGTCTGATTCCTCTCCAGATACTTAAAGGGCATCTCCACTAAGGTGCTTCTGGGTTCCCGAAACTTCAGTGTCAAAACTGTACTTTCCTAACAACTTAACCATTTCCATCATCATCATTAGCCCAGGTTATTATTCTCCTCCTGGTCATCTTTTGACTCACTCCTTACATCTGACCAATGTCTATCTCTCATTTCCATGGACACCATTCTGGACCTTCCCAAATCCTCACTACCTCATGCCTCCACTTGGAGTCCTTTCTTTAGCTTCAGTACACCTGAACCCCCCTACAAAGGACCTTTCTAAATGCAGACTCTTCAGTCTGCTGTTTAAGCTCTCTGTCAGGTAGACCTCTTGCCATAGTATTTTGGAGTTAAAAGCAACCTTTGGCATGATTTAATTCAGCCTCCTCATTTTATAGGTGAGGAAGCTGAACCTTAAGCAGGTATTATTAATAATTATAGCAGAAGTGATAGAGGTGGTTGGCAGAGTAGGGATCACATTACCTAAGACCCCCCTGTATCAGATTGGTCTTCTCATTCGTTCCATCTACACTTTATCCATCTCTGCCTTTGCTCATACAGTTCCTGCATCATGGAAGGCCCTTTATCCTAATCCTATTTACTTTTCATTTTTATTGATGATTTTTTTTGATAATTAATTTATTTATTTTTAGTTTTCAACATTCACTTCCATAAGATTTTGAGTTTTACATTTTCTTCCCCCTCACTTATTCCCCACCCACCCACGCAATAGTATACAATCTGATATAGGTTCTACATATACATTCATGTTAAGATGAATTTTGTTTTGATGCATCATGAAACCTTTACTAGGCTCCCAACATTTTAATCCTATTTGTCCTGATGATGCCTCCTTCCTCTATGAAGTCCTCCTTGAAGTATGATCATAATAATAATTATGGAATTTAGGGCCCAAAGGGACCTTAGTCCAGTTCCCTCATTTTCCAGACAAGGACATTTTGAGGCTGGGGTAGGGGAGAGACTTGTCCAAAGTTACACAGACGAGAACCGGCAGAACTTGGGACGTGAAGCCAGGCTTTTTGACTCCAAACTTCATTTTCACACTGCCCACCTTAGCTGGGGCTCAAGCTACTCTTCCCTCCCTACATAATTTGCACAGAATACACACATTTGCTTGTGCTGCCTTCCGCATTTCTTCTATCTCATTTAGACCATCCACCTTCTCTAGGGGGGGACCATATTCTCTCTCCTTCCTCAGTGTCCTCGGTATGCTAGGGTCATTCATTCCTGCCTCAGGTAACTTTGCTGTTAGCTCTGCCAGGAATACCCCCCCCTCTCCTCTCCTCAGCTCCCCTTAGGTTCCACCTCCCACATAATAAAGCCTCCCCTGAGTACTCCAGTTCACACTAGCCCTTCTCTAAACTCCCACTGCCCATCCCAATTGCACAGTTTAACACTGGTGTCTCTGAGTATTTCATGTGGATCAGTCCAGCCTCCCTCATTAGACTCTGAGTTTCTTGTATCTCTACCCTGCCCCCAAATGCTGGGAACAGTGTAGACCTCCCAGCAGTTGAGGTCCCCAATTTGTTCCTTCCCAAAGGGAGGGGTCAGCAGTGATGTGAGCTCCTGAGCAATCACTCCCATGTGACCCGTGCACAGGCCTTGCTCAGGGCAGAGTAAGCTCTGGAATCCTGCCTGTATGCCTTTACATTTCTGACATACATCCAAACCTCTGAGGAGGAAGGGCAGAGGAATTATCCAGAGGGGTTAATCCAGTTGTCCTCTGGCTGGTTTTTGTGGTTCTCCAGACTCACAGACTCCTGTTCTCATACTTCAATGAATATCAGAGTTGGGGGGCTTCAGAGGCCATTTAGCCTGACTGATCAATAATCCCTATGACAGCATCCCCCAACAAACTGGCATCTAGCCTTTGCTTGAGGGCTTCCAGTGAGGGGGAACTGACAGCTTCCCAGGGCAGCTAATTTTACTTTTCCATCATTTGAATGGTTAGGAAGTTTTTCCTTATATTGATGCTAAATCTGAGTCTCTGAAACCTTCACCCATTGTCCCTAGTTCTGCTCAATGGGGCAAAACAGAACAAATTTAATTTCTCTTCCACATAAAAGTATTTCAGATACTTGAAGACAGCTATCAAGTATCTTCTCTTCTTCAGGCTAAACGTCTTCTGTTCCTTTAGCCAGTCTCCACGGAGAACCTCCACTATCCTAGTTATCCTTCCCTGGATGCTCTCCAGTTTATTAGTGTCCTTCCTAAAATATGGTGCCCAGAGCTAAACATGATCTTCCCAATGTGGTCTGATCTTGGCCACCATTCGCTAGGTGGGATTGGCACCTCTGCCTCTCCAAAAGCAGCTGAGGTCACATCCCTTATTTTGACTGCCATACCATAATCTTGGTTCATAGAGCCTCCCGCCTCCCCCCTCTATACTTTTCTCATTCCCTACTTTGGCCAACACAACATTTCCCACAACTTCTCTCCTCAGAAGAGGATGATCTAAGATGGTGTCCTGCTTGGACGACTGGCCAAGCAGGGAGTCGTGGGGACGGGTGACACCCGACCTGTGTCCACATCTGTGTATCTGCTCAGGGAGCGCTCTGACGTCCGGTGGCCCCGCTCGCGACGGCGCTGGTGGTGCCGCTGGTTCTCCTCTGGGGTGATTCTTTCCAGAGAGTAGTCATCTAAGCGCCTGCCCTTGTGGCCCAGCATGGAAGCTGAGCGCTTCATGGGACTGCTATCAGAGATGGTCTGAGGGTAGAACAACAAGCCCAAATGTATGGTCACTAATGAAGTGGTCACAGAGGCCTGTTGGCAGCCAACCTCAGTCTTGGGGTCATCCCCACCGGGCTATCAGTAAAGGGAGGGCAGCTTGGAGGTGGGCCTGTCCCCCACCCAGGTGCTTCCACAGCAGGGGCGCCTGCCAGGGAGGAATCTCTGGACATGATTTGAGGTGTTGCCCCTTTCCCCCATGGCCACAATCACTGCAGTGTCTGTAGCGATGGCCACCATTACTGTGTGGTGCCATGGAAGGCAGGATTAGAGAGAAAACTGGGAAAGTTTGAAAGGGCATTTTGGGACAGGACAACCCACCAAAGAAGATGATCAGTTCCAGTTAGACATTTGGATTCCCTAGCCTTAAACACCCCACGTGAAAAAGCATTTGCAAAGTCTAGCCAAGTTTCAAGTGGAGTCCAATGAGGTCTAGAACAGTTGGGGCCAGGACTCCCAGAGGTCATTCTTTTCACTCCCCTACCTTGGTATTATACAAAGCTGATGGTGATACTCAGATTCCCTTTTTATCCTAGCTTCTGTATCCCCCTATGGAGTGGAATGTAGGGGAACAAAGGATTAATATTTCTCCCAGTTGGAGCCCAGCCAGAAAGTCCAGGCAATAGGTCTCCATTGCCCTAAACTGCCTTTCTGGCTTATGAATATTCATGAAAGCAAGGAGAGGCTGTCTTTAAGTCCGAGGTGAACCCCTTCCTGTCCTGTACTTCTGCCAAGGGGACTAGAACTGTTTCGGCTTGGCTCTGGGGGTCACTGAGGCATAGCAGTCTAGGCTGATGAGGGAGGTAACGGTGGCCATTTTGGACTCTTCATGGAATTCTTTCAAACCATCCCAAAACCTCAGTCATGCCCCTGTCAGTTTTGCCTATGACCTATCAACAGTTTAATGTGTTTGAGGAGGGAAAACTGGCAGGGCAAGGGAGCAATTACTTGTCCACATAAGCTACCCTTAATTGTCCACAATTGTTCTTTTAGTAAGGATTTAGCTAAACCGTTTTAGGTGCCCTTGAGCCCTGAGCTCCAGAAATGCTACCCCCATGACCACTTGACTTTCCTTGGACTCAGTGGGAGGGCCTTGGGTTAGGGGGCAGGATCCCCAGAAGCAGGACAGCCCCATGGAAAAAGCCTGGAGCTAGGAGAGTCTAGAACTCTAGGTTCTAGGCCCAGATCTTTGCTAACATCTTTGCATCTTCTTTCATTTATCTGTCAAATGAGGATAGGGACCTCCCTACCCTTCCTGCCTCACTGACTTTCCAGTCAGCTTCTTTCTGAGCTGAGCCTAGCCTTATAAGCTCACCCTCAGAGAGCAGGTCCCTGCATCTGTGTGTATCTCTCCCCTGTTGCCTCAGGCCCATCAGGGGGCCGGGATGGCAAAGCTTCTCCCCACCCCTCACCTCTTCTCCAGGGTTACCTCCTCTGCCATCTGTGAGAGACACATATACATTGAGCATAAAAGTAATGTGAGGAGAGCCTCTGTTGAGGCTGGGCCACAAGTGTTCCACTGATTGTTGGAGCCTGGGTCCACAGAGAGCTGGCCAGCAAACAGGGCAGCTCTCTGGCCTCTAATGACGTTGGGTAGGTGGAAAAGGGAAGGTGGAAAGGCTGTATATAGCAGGTGCCTTACAGGGAAAAATTGCCTCTTCCCATCCAGGCCTGAGTAGAGAAAAAAGTGTTTTTGTTTGTTTGTTTGTTTTTCCAAAAGATGTCCTGCTCTTTTTGTCTCCCTTGGCCCCTTCTCTTCTGTTGCTGACCTCACTTGACTGTATGCTTCAGAGGGAACTCTATTGTTTCAAAGTGATAGAAGGAGGGAGGAAGGCTGGGAGCCCAAAAGCTTGTTGTCCAGGACCCAGGTGGACAGCTTATTGCCCCACCTATGGCCAAAACACAATGGGGGAACAGGACAGACTGTGCATTCCTCTCCCTTGAGACGGGCAAGGGGAATAGAGGAGGGAGGAAGAAGTGTCGGTAGGTGTGTTGGTCAGTTTACGGCTTAATTAGAGCCTGGAACAATGGGCCCCTGAGCAGGAAGGAGGACTTCCTGAAACCTAAATGGGAGCTTTTGGGAAGAGAGGATGTGTAGACCTGGCTTCAGCAGCCTGCCTCTGGGAGGATGGGGAGGCCTCCAGCCTGCAACACAGACAGAAGGTTTAGCTTAGGGATTTGAGGTCTCTGGGATGGTCGATAGATTTGCCAGGATCGAGAAGCTAAAGAGGTGAACACATCGTCAAAGACATTGGGGCCCTCGGGGAAGCTGCCCAAGTCATCTTGAGAGAGGAGACATTAAAAGTCCATCAGTCTACTAGACCGTGAGCTCCTTGAGAGCAGGGACTCTTCTTTCATCTTTGTAATCCTCAGCACCAAGCTCGGTCCTCTGCACATCGAAGGCTTAGTAATGTTTGTTGAATTGGACCAGACCTGGTATCAGCCACAGAGCTGTTCCCTCCTATAGGGCTACACAACCCCTCAGCAGCAAGAAACCTCCAGAGACCCTGCCTGAAGAGAGAGAATGGGGTGGGGTGGGCTGCACCAGGGTGGCAGGCACAGCCTGGCCCTGGCTACCAGAGCGAGCCTGCGGCAGAGGTTGGGGACGTCAGGGATCAGCAGGGAAGAAACAGGGGAGGGGCTAGAGCTTTAGCGCCCCTCCCCACCCCAGTCAAGGTACGTACACTCAGATTATTCCCACGAGGCCGGCCCTTTCTCCTCTGTCACAGCCCCACAGGATGGTGCACACAGAAAGAACAGAAAGAAGAAAATAAATATCAAAGCAAAAAAGGAAAAGGAGGAGCTGGTTGGTGGGAGGAGAAATCATGTAAAAATGTCACTCATTGAGTGAGGGGGACAGCAGAGGGAGGATGGGGAGAGAGAAACCTGAGAAAAAGTGAGGAGAGCAAGAAGGAAAATCAGAAAAGATTAATGTCATCAGTGAGCAGCCACTCCAGAGAATTAATCTCAGAGCATATTACACTCTTTTATTTATGCTGGGCAGGTTTGCTTGGAACAAACCACTCTGCTGACATGTTAAGATTGAAGAAGACAGACAGGAAAAGGCCAGACAGATAGAAAGACAACAGGGAGGCACAAGACGGATGAATGTGAGATAATGAAAGCAACACGGAGATTGGAGCAAGTTTCCCAGAACCCTGACCATTGACCCTGCCTCATGCAATAAGTCCCCTGACCCTGCCTCCCCGTCATACGCAGGTGGCCTTCACAGCCCATTCTTGCCTTTGCTAAAAGCTGCAGTGTTATGGCCCTAGTCTCCTCATTCCACTGATGCTGGCAAGACCCTGGTGGGCCTCATTGCCAAAGGCCTCATTCTCATAGGTTGAGGGTGTGTGCACATGTGTCTCTAGGGCATGCAGTTCTCATCCTGTCCACCGTCCCTCCCACTCTAGCTCCCAAAGCCCTTCCCTTCCTCCTTAAGCAGACGCATTCCCTGAATATGGAAGGAGGAGAAGGAGTTCTTCCTGATGAACCTCTGCCCCTAGAGGAAACAGTGCAGCCTTTAGTAGAGTTTAGGTGTTCCCACCCCCTATCAAGCCACCCACTGTTCCAACGCAAATGCCACACATGAAGCTTGTCTAAAGCCAAACATGCAAACACATGGACTAGTCCAAGGTCTTTCATAGACTCACTGGTCATTCATGTGCCATTCTGTCCATCCATCCATCCATCCATCCATCCATCCATCCATCCATCCATCC